ATTGTGTGTGTTTGGTTACCGATGGCTGGTCAAGTATTTATAAGAGATTTTAGCAGCGAATTTGCATCGAATTTTGCATCGAATTAGCATCGAATTAGTATCAAATATATTAGCGCCGAATTTGCTTCAACTTTGCAGCGATTTAGCGTCGGTTTAAGGTGCCGTTGCTAAAGTAGGTGAACCATTTAAAATACGTTTCGCCTACCTACCCACTTCGACGCTATATTTGACGCTATACCGACGGTACTAATTTAGCAACGAAGTAGCGTCGAATTCGACGCCAAATCGATTTGGCGTCGAACAAATTTGTCTCTATTTTGCGTCGAATTAACCTCGAATATTGCCATCGACACAAAAACGACGTGAAATCGACGCTAAAGTTGCGTCGACACTTTTTCGACACTAAAACTGTATTTTCTTGTAGTGGTTCTTTATCAGCTTCAATCGGCGGCTGTCTTGAAACTCGGGCCTGAGAATTCTTTAGGGCGAACCGCCTACTCTTTGGGACGCACTATCTATCACACTATCTATCACACTCGCGCGAAGACATGCTTCATGCTTTGAAGAAAGTAGGTAAAATCAAGCCATTAATGATAATTAAGTACTAACCAACCTCTCTTCAAATTTATAGTTTTAATATGATGTCGATATTGTTATGAAATAAAGTAGTTTTTAAGTTTCCAACAACACCTTAATAAATTTAAACATCTACTTACAAGAAATGTATTCAATAATCCAACTAGATACATTTAAGAATATCATATGGTTCATATTCGTACATTTGTTGTTGGAAACTCATTTATTTTTTATACATCATGGACTTGTTCTTCTTCCCTTTGATCATGTCTTAAAATCTTTGAGCTATTCTTCCTCTTACTTATATCTCTTTCGATCTCATATAAACCTTATAATATACAAGTCTATTTTCCATATATAAAATATATCTTAATTTGATTTCTGATTCTTGAGACAAGTCGATAATGAAAGGGAGATGCCTAGTGAAAGAGAAGAGCTTGATGTGGTTGGTGAAGGCTCCTTTCCGTTGGTTGATCATGGCACGTGACGCATACATACGTAGCATTACGTCATGCTCCGGCGCCGGAATCTTTTCAGGTGGCGGATCTTCTGGTTTTGGTCAGTTCTCGGGAAACTTCCAAATCTGTGATCCGCCTAGCACCGCCCTTCCCCGGAGCTTTACCTTGACGTCGTCGAAGGCACGTGATCGAGGCGGTCCGATGACACGTGGCGGGCGATCGGGGCCGTTGGATCGCCGGAGGAACTATAGATGTGTTGTTTCGTTAGGACGAATCGATGAGGAGATTTCTTGTGAAGAAGAAGATTCTTTACTTGATTATGGTAAATGTAAGATACTTCACAAATAGCTGAAAGATCGTATGTAGTGTTGACCAAAAGCAGATCATTTAAAACATAAAAAAATGTTTATTGGGTTTACGAATTTGTTGCATTGTTGGTAATTTCGAAATATTGGTCTACCAGCGTAAAACTCAATTTCAATGTGATGTATAACAAAGCTTTTAATTAGGTTATTTCGTTGTTTAAGAAAACAAAAGATTGATTTACAGTACACATTGGAAGTTGCAACAGTTTTACTTGTTTAGCAAAAAAAAACAGTTTTAATTTCATTAGTTGAAACACGTAAATTACATTGATTGCACCATGTATCAATTTTCATTAGTTCTAACATTTGTAGTACAAAAACACATACTGCTACAATAAGATTGAATAATAATCAATCAACCAATCATCCTTGACAGAGTGACACTGCACTAAAAATTTGACTTTTAGTGAAAAGTACAATTTTAGCTACACTACTTTTTTTTTTATTATTTTACATTATGTTTAAGTACCTGGTCAAATTATTATTATTAATTTTATGATGACCGGATCGATCGTGTAAGTTAACTGATAGCGGTAAGTAGATGCACAAATAGTAATGGTTATTCACTACATTTTTATTAGTATGGTGCTATATTCTTAGTAATGTGATGCGATATGGTTAGTCGGCAAATCACTTCCAAAAATAATCAACTAAGTGGGAAAATTAACAAAGTCTTATAACTTTGTAGGGCACATATGTTGTAATACGTAATAAATCTAATTCTAATTCAAAATCATAAATGTCGAAAAATTAAGACTTTTTTAAAAATCAACAAATAGAGTAATGGTTTTTGTATGTCCTTATAGTTAGAAAGAATTCGAAACTTTTAGATATATTTTATTTTTAATCGATAACTTTAACGTATTTTTCTGTGAAAATAAAAAAAAAGTTTAAATCTGCAAACCGCATACAAAGTTTCAAATTAGTTTTCACACACATTTTAATTGAGAATGGTCTATGAATTTTAAAGGGTGATTTTGGTGTAT